TATATATATATATATATATATATATATATATATATATATATATATGGAGGTGTGTGTCCTTATATTTTACTTTGCAGCCAAAACTACGCAGATGAATAGTGTTTGTATGTGGCATTAGGTACAAGGCTCCCATCGTGCACTATGGTGGTTGCAAGTCGATAGTTATAAGGGTGTAAAAGATACGGGGGTTGAAACATGTTAACTTCAAAAATGTGAGACTATCATTGATCTGAAATGGTCTGGATTGTTCTGGAAATTTCTGGAATGATCTAGAAAGCTTTAATATGTATACCAATGTTCTGATCGATCGAGAATATTCTAGAAAATTCTAGAATGATCTGGAAAGTTTTAAAATGATATGGGAAGTTCCAAAATCGACGTTTAGATTCTAATCGAAAGAGAATGTTCTAAAAGATTCTAAAATGATCTAGGAAGTTCTAAAATCTACGTTTGGATTCTGATCGAATGAGAATGGTCTAGGACATTCTAGAATGATCTGGGACGTTCTAAAATAATATGGGAAGTTCTAAAATAATATGGCAGGTTTTAAAATCTACGTTTAGATTGTGATCGAATGAGAATGTTCTAGAAAATTCTAGAATGATCCAGAAATTTCTAGAATGATCTGGGAAGTTTTAAAATGATATAGGAAGTTCTAAAATCTACGTTTAGATTCTGATCGAATGAGAATGTTCTAGATAATTCCAGAATGATCTGGGAAGTTCTTAAATAATATAGGAGGTTCTAAAATCTACGTTTAGTTTGTGATCGAATGAGAATGTTCTAGAAAATTCTAGAATTATCTAAAATAACTCCGAGTAAACTAGAATGCTTTAAGATGTATGTCAACATTCTTATCGGTCAAAAATATACTGGATTGTTTTAGTTAACTTTTAAAATATTCCAAAAAATTTAAATATCAACAAATAACTGTTCTATTAAGAATGACTCAGCGAAGCGGGTGTTCACGGCTAGTATATAGATATATATATATGGGGCATTCCATGTCAAATCGACCAATAGTTCGAATCGATCCCTTTTGATTTGGATGGTCAGAAGTTTTCTTTTATCATAAAACGAAGTTCTGCCAAAGGAAAAAAAATAAAATTTTTTTCAAAAGATATGCAAATTCAAAATTTCGCGATTTTTCCAGTTTTTCAATTTTGTTTTTGCATTATCTCGAATGCTATAGTATAGAAGCATCACACGAGGTTACAATTACTTTCATTGCTTTTGACACCGTTTTTTCGATATTTGGCGAGTATTTGGAGTCGGGTTACTCTGGAAAGTAGACGAGCATCGTGTAAGGGACGCTCGCAATGATTCTAAATCAAGTTTCCTGGCGTTTTACTTCCGCTGTTGAAGGTAGCGTAGTGAAACTGGAACAGGTGCCAGTCCAACACTAAATCTCACATACTGGTGATCACTGCCACTGTATTCTTTGGATACAGTCCAGTCTTCAATCATGTTAGCAATCCTTGGAGTCACCAGCGAAATGTCGAGGATGGATTCCTGGTACCCCGGTCTTCTGAAGGTTGTGGTACTTCCGGTGTTCAGCACTATAAGGTCAAGTCTTGCTGCGAAGTCTGCTACTTCGTTTCTTCCGGTGTCAGAGAAATCAGCGCCCCATTCAGCCGATTCGGCGTTGAAATCACCAGTTACGATGACTTCACCGTCGAGCTTGTCGATGGAATCCTCTATGTTTGCCATTTTCTGGCAGAACACATTGATCCCTTCATTGGGTGAAAGCTAAAGGTAGATGCTCATTAAGTAGGTCGTGAGGGTCTTAATCCAGACGAAGCCTGCTCCGCTTCCGTTGTTGTTGACGGTACCCTTCTTCGCATTTACTATCCAGATCGCTGCTGTGGCGGATTTATCATCAGCTAACCATGTTCAGTTTTTGCGCCAAAGCGCACCTATTCAGGTTGCCTTGTAGTATTTGCGTCATTTCTGCCCTCTCATAGCTTCGGTAAGTGCGGTGCGGAATGCCTCCCTGATTTAAAAAAAGTATTGAACCATGCAACTGTATATCTATATTGTATGTATATATAGATATACAGTGTGTGAAGAGTATTGAAAAAGTATTGAATTACATACTTTTTCAATACTTTTTTTTAATCAGGGCTTACAAGCCCCGGAGCCAGAAATATGGCATAAGCCATCCTGAGCATCTTTGTACGGTGTACAAAGAAAACATTTTGGCTTCTTCGCGTAGTCTGCGGACTTGTGGTTTTCTCCGCCACATTTGTAGCAGCACTTGCTTCTATCGGGTCCTGCACAGTGACGTGTTTGGTGCCCAAAACCAAGGCATCTAAAGCAGCGGGTTACTTTTGCAACTGGGCGAATGC